CCTGGCCTTCCGGCTCGCTCTCTCTTCAGCACAACAGACCGGTACAACGCCCGCACCACTGCAGCACCAACCCGCCTATCGAACTTGCACTTCAGCTTTCCCTCATCGTGAACAAGACCCATTGCATTGACTCCAGCCTCTCGTCTTTCGCTTTGGAAGGTTGTTGTCCTTCAGCTTTGAAGCGCCTGAATCTGCTGCTTACTGATAAATGATGCACAGAGAACTTCTGTAAAAACCTGCATCCTTTTCTCCTTGCAGGTCTATGAAGGCTTAGTCTACATGGATTTTAGCAAGCTGCTTATGGATGAGCAAGGCCACGGTACTAGCATCTGTAGAAGATGAAAATGATCATGTGCAAAACAGAGGTTCTAACTTCTCTCAGTTCTTCTGTAACTTCTAGGTCTTTTCTGTCCATTCTCAGGGAACTATGTGTCCATGGACATGAGCAGCCTTCCGCCCTTTTGGCTGGCCTATTTGAGCGACCCCAGTGACTCCGGACGAATCCACAGCAACATCCGACAGCGTTGGCTCAATGGTACACATTCTGGTCAACGGCCATGTTCAGACAGGCAACTGATCTTTCATATTTAGTCACATGTCAATGGCAACCAATGCTGTAAAGAGAAAGTTACCCCCAAACCACCTTTTTTGTTGATATACTATAAATGAGTGCCTAATGGTTATGTAGGTGTGTGTAGTCATTATTTTGACATTTTAGTTTATTTAAAATATAAAGATTTTCCCTAAAATGTTAGTGTAGCGCCCTCTTAAGGTTAAAATCATGCTCTACATTTGCCATCTCGGTCCGCCCGGTAATCTCTCCATTTGGCATATTTTACCTCTGACGGTCTCTTCCGCCTCTGCTCAAGCCCCTCTGTGCATGAACTGCACATTCTCGACTCGGAGCAGCTGACCAGAAAGCAAGGCCAGAGCCAGGCTACCTAGAGTAACAGACAAAATGTTCCATTATGTTTGCAAATGTCAGACGATGTGTATTTTCCCTGGCCATACGGGGTGGTGCATACCTAAATCATTGCAAGAAAGTAGCATTTTTGTGTTTGAGGAAGACCTTTAGGCCATTTGGGTCAAAAATCTCTGGGAGCACAACCTCCAGCGACATGTCAAGCACGTCAGACTCCCTTTCATCACTGGCAATGAGCGAAGAGGTAAACGTCCAAAACCACATCGTCTATGAAAGGTGAAAGTTTTGTAACCGTTTGTTACAAACTGGTAAATGCATGGCTTCCGTAGAAAGAAACATGGCGTTGCCCAGAGACTTCCACCCTCCCCAAGACCCCCTTAAACCCGGTAATATTTTTTAATGATTTGGCATCATTTTATACATTTTTAACAACATTTTGATGGATATTCTCAGAGATCAGGGTTAGAAAAACTACACATTGTAAGTTTAAAATCTAGACAAACCATAGCAGTAACCATAGAAAATACTTTTTTCTACAAGTAGGTCTAGCCACACTCTATTGTAGCCTCAGCAGGCCTACCATTGGATTGGCTAAGAGTAGGTTGGGCCAATCAGAATCATGTTTTATTGCCAAGTATGTGAAAGACTCATATTAAAAGGAATTTGTTTCAGTAGAATGGTGGAAACATAGAAGTGAAGCAAGGGTAAAATAGGCTGCATGAAAGATTATGAATAATAAACATAAGAAACATAATGTGACCAGTGCAGCTCTGTATGGTTCTAATGGTTATGTGGTGTTCAGAAGTCCTAGCGGTCCTAGAATGGTTTAAACAGTCCATGACCAGGATGAGAGGGGTCAGCGGTTGGGCATCGTTTGATTTTGAATGATTCCGATTCCAATTCCTTGTTTCGATTCCTGATTCCGATTCTTTCAAGACATGACATGTTTTACACGAGCCAGCCAACCACAGGTCCTACTGGATGAAATAATCTGAACTTCAACATGAATTTTAACTCTATGAACAACAACATCACCTTCATTCAGACACAAACATGCTCTGGAGACAAAAAGAAAAAGACTTGCAGCACAACCAGTGTGTTTGTTTCTGACCACAACCAAAGTGTGGAAGCAGCCTCTGGGATGAGAGGCTAAATGTCTCCAACATGTCCAGAAACGTCCGGCTGTTTCCAGCTAAAACTCTCAGGATGATCATGTCCAGGATGACTGAGACCTACACCTCCATGCTGCAGCAGCTTCAGTCACAACAGGAAGTGGAACTTAACCGTAGCTGCTGTCAGTAACAACCTAACAGATTTAAACATTAAAACTCAACAGAAATAGTTCAGAAAGGAAATTAAAATGTTATTATTATTATTATTATTATTATTATTTATTGTGGCAGAAGCTGGTGTGGTCCACCACAGAGAAGCTGCTCTAGCATGATGACTTTAATTATTCTACAGGTTATTGTTCAGCCTTCTGACACACACACACACACACACACACACACACACACACACACACACACACACACACACACACACACACACACACACACACACACACACACACACACACACACAAGAGTGTTGGTGACTGCTGACGCTCCGTGTGTGTTGTTATTTCTGCAGTGAGACAAACTCGCCTCACACCGTCCAGAGTTTGTTCTTTAAAGCTTCTATTAAATCCACCGTGTTGACGTATTTAACATGTTTCCTCTACGCTGCAGGAGTTAACGTTTACATCACGGAGTAAAAGTTCTGGAGGTGTGCAGATTGTGAATTGATGGAAGATTAGAGCCAATCATTTTCAGCTGAATGCACACCACACTGTAGTCTGTGCTTTTGCCCGGTACTCGCCCCGGTGTACCACACAGTGATGGAGGAAATGAGAATGGAATCACTGATGGTCATGTAGAACTGGACCTTCATCATGGTTGATGTTCTGAGTTTTCTCAGCTGCTGCAGGAAGAATAGCCTCTGCTGTTCCTTTTTGATGAGGGAGCTGATGGACATCTCCCACTTGAGGTTGTGGATGATGGTGGTCCCAAGGAAGTAGAAGGAGCCTCAGCTGAGATGGGAGTGTCCGTCGGGGTAATTTTTGCTAGTCTCGCATCAGAGGAGTTGTATTTGCTGACCAGTATAAGTAGTATTTATTAATGTTTCTGATGCAATTACATGCATTTTAAGCACTTGCAGGCTATGTAAAATGACTTGACGAGCCTAATTTGGCCCACGGGCCTTGAGATTGCCACGTTTCCAATTTTGGAGAATGTTGTTGCCTCTCAACTCCACTCTCACTTGGAACTAAACAGTATTTATGAGTGCTTTCAGTCTGGTTTCCCCCCCTGTTACAGTACAGAAACTGCTCTTAAAAATCACTAATGATCTCCTGACTGCTGCTGACTCAAGCCTTCTTACCATCCTCATCCTCCCTGATCCATAACAGCTTTTTCTCATTCAGTTCTTCTTGACAGGCTCTCACCTAATGGCATTTCCAATCTCCCACTTGACTGGTTCCACTTACTTAGGCCGTTCACGATTCATACAACTCAAACCCTTCAGATCTGACCCCTCTCCAATTGCAAAAGGTGTGACCCAAGGTTCTGTTCTAGGGCCCTTTCTCTTCATTATCTACCTCCTTCTACTTGGTCATATCTTTCAGAAATTCAACATTTGCAGTGCTTTGTTGATGACACCCAACTGTACGTGTCCTTAAAACCACAATCTCCACTTCCACCCCACCATAGGCTCCAACTGGTCCAGAACTCTGCTGCACGCATCATCTCTCCAACTCAATAAGTCATGATATCAGCCCTGTCCTCCAGCAGCTCCACTGGCTTAAAATCCTTCTCACATTGAAGGCCATCCATCCTTGTGTGTGTGTGTGTGTGTGTGTGTGTGTGTGTGTGTGTGTGTGTGTGTTTCTTGAATAGCACTTAGAAATAAAACACGTTATTATTATCTTTAAAAGCACTAAAATGGAATAAAATAGGTATGTGAGCTCCGTTGTTTCATGCCTTTCCCCAGGTGAACACGAGGTTGTTGAGGCCATGAAGTCTTTCTCTGAGCTCACAGATCAGGCAAAGTAAGTATTAGTCAGACTCTCCTGAGCAAAACTTAAATGGAACTACATCCAAAGATCACATTTTCTGCAGTTGTAAACATGAGTCAGTGTTTTTTTCTTCTTGTTGTATTTCAGACATTACAGCTTGCTCTGATTCAGATGCTTTTTCTTACACTAGATCCGCCATCCAGGACAGAGACTGGACCCGTCTGGCACAACTAATGAACGAGAACTTTGAGCTGCGGAGGTAGTTTAGGGCTTTAGAACACCTAGTGTTGTAAAAATGTATTTTGTGTGTGTGTGTGTGTGTGTGTGTGTGTGTGTGTGTGTGTGTGTGTGTGTGTGTGTGTGTGTGTGTGTGTGTTCTTGTACATACTACATACTGAGGACCATTTTGACCATTTTCCCTAAAAAGTGAGGACATTTTTTTGGTCCTCACTTTTTAAGCTTACCAGAAGCTTACTGTACCAGTTAGAGGTTTGGTGTGAATAAATTTTTAGTTAAGGTTAGGAATAGATCAGTGTTGGTTATGGTTAGGGTTGGGGTATGGGTTAGGCATGGTGAAATCACAAAAATGAATGGGTCAATGGAGGGTCCTCATTATGATAGAAAGACAGACGTGTGTGTATGTGTGTGTGTGTGGCAGCGGTAAGGAGGCATTTTGAGGATCATATCAATTCATGTGTTAATCAGTGTCAGCTTCTTTGGTGGTAATTCAAGTGCTATATACAAACTACTCAGTACTAGGGACGCACCGATACCATCCCTAGTACTTAGTAGTTTGTATATATAATCGGTAAAAGTTAACCGATACCAATGCAGTTGCTTGAAAGTGACTTTGCTGTAACTTGTCATTTCTGTTCACTAATATTGTAGTTTTGTGATCATTTCTATTCATATATTTTACTTTTTATCTACCTCACAGTCTCACAGAAGAGAATAAAACCTGTATTCCAATCCATAGCACGTTTTGTGTGGTAGAAGTATCGGCATTGGCGAGTACTCAGATCTAAGTATCGGTATCGGTTTGGTAAAAAGTGGTATCGTTGCATCCTTACTCAGTACCATTTAAAGTTGCTGCACTGATGTTTCAGCAAATTGGACTGAAATACTCCAGTTTTCATTTCTAAAGACCCCTGTAGGTTTGTGTAGACTGTCAGTCGTCCAGGGAAGGATGATCTAGCAGGGTTAGTTGAAAACCACTGAACTTGTTTCCCTTGAAGACAATCTGTCCCTCCTCCAAAGAGCTTCTTCAGTTGTGAAGCTTGGGTTGGAAGTAGGAGCTGAAACAACCCAAGCTTCAGAAGTGAAGAAGCTTCTTGGAGGAGAGTCAAAACATCCTCCAGGTCATCGAGAAAGGCCCATTTGTTTCCAGCTAAGCCTTTAAAAACATCTGTAAGTGTCACGACCAGAACTTGGAAGACCCGTGATGACACCAAACACAGTAAAGTATTTATTAGATGTGGCGTTACCCGAGGAGGGCGAGGCTGGAGACAGAGTCGGGGACAGGCGAAGGTTGAAATGGCAGGCAGAGTTCAAGGCAGGGGTCAGGAGAAAAACAAGGTCCGGAGGCAGAAATCAGGCCGGGAGAATCGCTGGAGAATTACTGGCAGGGCTGTAATAATCTGGCAGGGAACTGGTGGTGTGCTGGTGAATATACAGTAGGGGAAGCAGGTGTGTGAGATGAGCTGAGGAGTCAGGAGCGGGTGAAGTGGAGGAAGCTGATTGTGAGGAGGCAGAGGAGGGTGAAGGATGGGGGTCATGACAGGAAGTTGATATTTTTTCACTCTCATCTAAAGGTGAGGCCTCTTTTTGGCCCCAGCACAGTTCATCTTCTCACATTTCTGAAAGTCTTTTCCGTTCTGTGAATTTTACTCAAAGAGATTTAAATAAGGAAAGCAAAAGGCTAATATGGCAGCAACAACAGAACAAAATCAATAAAGAAAGCACACGAGGGGGGAAAGTGCCTGTAGCGTAAACGAGCTTCAGTCCCTTCAACGGTACCTTCCACATTCTGTCAAAAACAAACTGTTAATCCAGATTGCCGGGATTTGTCACAAGTCAGAAGGAAAGGGTTAAATGATGAATATGTGGATTTAATTTTATAATGTGTGAGCAAATGGGGATTTCATCATTTTCTGTATGATTTGATTTGGGATTAAGTTGACCTAAATATTTACTACATTGTTTTAAAATCACAATTTTATTTGATTCTGCATGTAACTACATACAGATTATAATCTACCCCCCAGGTCTGTTTACACAGACGGCTGTCTGGGTCCCGGGAATCTCAAGATGGTTGACCTGGCGAGACAGGTAGGTGCTCAGAGGGTCCACTGTCTCTGAGCAGAGCACGCACTCTTCTTTCTTTTAAACTGTGGGATTTTCTCACTAATGTCCCAGCGTACATGCAGAACTGTGTGAACGCTCATTAAATACTTTTTATTCTTGCAGTTTGGCTCAGCAGTAAAATTACCAGGTAGTGGGGGGGCTGTGGTAGGTCTGATCCTGGACCAGGACAAACTGGTGAGTCCGCCCTGCATCACAGTGAACTTTACACACCTGTTCATGTATGAAGACGAGGGTTCGAAACCTCATAATTCAATTGAAAATTAAATTAAATCCAGTTTATTTATAAAGCGCCAAATCACGACAAGAGTCGTCTCAAGGACCTCCACATAGTAAACATCCCAGTCCAGGCCAGTTCATTAAGCCAGTCAGTAAAAGTTTCCTATATAAGGAACCCAGCAGGTGGCATCGAGTCGCTGACTGGGCTGCTACTACCGAAGCAAACTTAAATAAGGTCGCACAGAACAAGGCTGCTAGATTAGTCTTAAATAGTTCAGTTGTGAGGACATGCATACTGCTCTAGCATGGATGGGTGTACGGAGTAGAATAAAGTACTTACTTATAAAATGTATTAGGAATGTTATAAATACACAGACACCAGACATTTTTTAAATCAGTTGACATGTTTTAGAGATGTTCACCAACATGCTACGCGTCAAGCTGATGGCTGCTTGTTGTTGCCAGTTAGTCGAACTAATTTTCTACGCAGGTCAGTATTGTATAGAGCTACGGTGGAATGGGATAGTTTACCACAATTCTTGAGGGGTCAGCTACAAAGGAGTGATTTTTCTAGGAGGTTGCGGATATTTATTTATTCCCTTTTTACACGAGTTTGAGGAAGATGAGTTTTATGTTTTATTAATTTTATGTTTTGTTGTCCAGTATGTGTGGAGTAATTAGTGTTTTATGTTACAGGAAATGTGTGTTATTTTGGTGGAATGTGGTGTGCTCTTATAGTGGAGATTTATATTGTATGGTGAAAAGGATTGTTTGTTTGTGAGCCCAGAGTTGATGCATGAATAATGTATTATTTTTGGATGATGTTATGACCCTAGGAAGAATAGCAACTGTTTTAACCGTGGCTAATGGGGATCTTAATAAACAAACAAACAAACTAGTGTCAGTGACTTTACAGCAATCCTCATACTAGGCAAGCATGCAGTGACAGTGGAGAGGAAAACTCCCTTTTAACAGGAAGAAACCTCCAGAGAATCCTGGCTCAGTATAAGCAGCCATCCTCCACGACTCACTGGGGATGGAGAAGACAGAGCAGACACACACACACACACACACACACACACACACACACACACACACACACACACACACGCACACGCACACGCACACACACACCAAGTAGTGTTGCTATGGTTACATTGTGATTTCTTAGTAAATATTCTATTTGGTGAAAGATAAACTTTATTGTATTTATCCTAGTGGATCTATAGTTAAACGGATAAACTAGTAGTAGCACATCCAACGTCAAAGAGAGTAAAAAGTTATTATCAGGAGAGGGAGAATGATTAAGTGGTTAGCAGCAGTGTGCTAGACGATGGCCCCCTCCATGAGACATACAAGGAAATACTAGAACCAGGAATATGGGAACAATTCTCAAACTTGAATGCACCATTAAATCAGTTAACATGGGACATACATGTGGATGTAGCTTCAAAATTCATGATATCTAGAGGAGACTTGCTGTAATTTATATTAAGATGTTTCATATAATCACGCATTTGCTCTCAGGTAGCAGCATTTGTTCTTACAAGCAAGTAAAGCATTTCAGAATGGTTTTCTTATTTTTCCTTCTTCAAATCTGTTTCTCCCCTCAGCTGTAAGTGTGCCATCCACATTTTCAAGTTATGTTTAGTTGGCGCTCCTTCCTTCTGTTGCTAAGCTCAGAAATCTAACACGAGACTCTCTGGGTCCTGCTGTCTCTGCTAGAGGTGGGAAAAATGATCGATTCTAAGATGCATCGCGATTCAGCCGTGCATGATTCCGCATCGATGCAGCAACGTGACGTAATGAGATTCTCTCCCCATGTCTATGTCGGGGGTCGGCAACCCGCAGCTGTGGAGCTGCATGCGGCTCTTCCATCCATCTGATGCGGCTCTCTGTGTTTGTAAAATAATGAATGGATATTTAAATAAAATGCTTTATATTTTACTGCATTAATTTTACATCTGTAAGCCAATTCTAAATGTAAAGATTGTCTGCGTAAACCTGAACAGGTCCAACCCGGTCTTACTGTGAGACCGGTTGACGGGTCACGCTTGTGCGTAATCATATAGGCGCTTTATGAGCTGACGAGGATGTGAGATTCTGGGATTCTCCTCAGATCCTGGATGTGTCGCCACATTGGAGACAGGAACAAGCGCTATTCAGCCAAAGTTTCATCATCAGGGAGCATTTTCTAAGCGACAAGTCTCGCTTCAGTCGGAGGAATCTGCATGCGCCCTGGTTCTGCGACGTGCTCCAAGCCCCTCTCCACATCTTCAGCTCGCTGTGCGCCGTACGTACGCGCTGACAGCGAGCTGCGCTGAGCTCCGTGTCCAGCTCAGATGGGAATCAAGTGATTTAGCTACATCTGCGATGTGCGAAACGAATAAAGTGTCAGTTCGTCTGCATGCGTCGGGGTAATTCTTTCTATTCTTTCTCCGTCAAAATAAACGGTCAAATACGGGAACTGTCCGGTCAACACAAGTCCTGCTTTTAACTGTTCTGTTTTCTTGTGAAAATAAATATAATTAATCTTGATTAACACCAGAGCCAGGCGCACTGCGCCGTTATCTCCGTCACTGTAAATGAGGGAAAAACAAAATGATCGGATCCTTTTCTGACCTTCCCCATCTACACAGTTTAATTACAACAATCAAACGTGACAGAGCCTGGATTTGTATTCTGAACAGTCTAAACATGTTTTAAAAAGAAACGTATGACAAAAGTGGCACCTGCTCAGTAAAACCACCAATAGGGTGAAAAATATCTAAATATTGTCGGCAGAGACGGGCTACAACTTCTGGATCCACTTTATATAAATCGTTTTATTGATTATCAACTCATGAAAGATAACTTTGACGTACACGAGCGACCGGTACCGGCTGCTGTCTGAGGGTAGGCCCCGCCCACAACGCCGCGGCTGCTGCGGTGTTTTCTTTACTGTGGGAAACGGGTAATAATGGCTCTTTGATGGGAACAGGTTGCCGACCCCTGGTCTATGTCCATGCGAGGACAATAAAATTTTGAGGTATTACTTCTGGGGGCAGAGTTGCAATGACATGCGCACTGCGTTGTCCTAGAAGCAATTGGACAGGGACACAGGACCAACATTACCAGTAATCAAAGACGTACCCGATACATTTAAATCGGATGTCTGGGCTAATTTCTGTTTTGGGATCCTGGATGTGAAAGAATCACTTAACACAGTATTTGTTTACTATTTTTAAGTTCAGTAGTATTCTATCTTAAATCTGCTCTACCGAAAACATTATTTCTTATATTATTTAAGTAATTATAGGCAGCACACTTTAAACATTATTGCTCACTATAGTGAATAGATGAATGTTCTGTTTTTCAGGGATTTCGAAATCAAAAAGAAATTGAAAACTATTCTACTGCTTTTATTAAGTAATGAAAATTTTTGTGTGAAGAATCGTGATGCATTTCAGACTCAAATCGAATCTTTAGGCAGATAATCGGAATCGGATCGAATCGTGAGGCAGGTAGAGATGTACATCACTAGTCTCTGCTGGGCCTGACCGGGTCATCACGAGCACGCTGCAGCTGAAGCACCTTAATTCGCATTCTGTGGATGAGTGAATGATTTGACTCCGCACAGCCCTACTGAATAGTTCCTGTTGGGTGCGTAGACCGAGGTGTCCGAGCAACTCTTTTTGATGCAGTTTGCTTTTTGACCCCTAGGTGGAGATGAGGCAAGCTTTCCAGGAAGCAGGCTGTGTCTTCTGTGTCATCACACCTTACAACCCATCACAAGTGCTATCAGAGGTCTCAGCTAACCTCACAGCTCGCTAGTTCTCCGTCAGGACTCTGCAGACGCGTGTGCTCCCCGTCTGCAGAACAGATCTGCTGTCACCTATACGACGACTTGATGGACTTTTGTAAAGCAGGATAGAGCCACATTGATTAGCTAAATGAAATGACACTTGAGATTAATTAGAAACATGTTAAAATCAGGGTTTATGTTAGTATTGCTATTAGAGATCGTATCTAAGCAAAGATAGAACGAGTTGCACCAATGAGTTAAGTTCCAGATCTACAGTCATGGCCAAAAATGTTGGTTTTCACAAAGTGTTCTGCCTCTGTGATAGAATAGAATAGAATAGAATAGAATAGACTATTGATCCCACAGTGGGGAAATTCACTTGTTACAGCAGCACCAACACTTGGAGAATAATTGAAGAAAAATAGTAACAATGTTGATTGTATTGAATACAAGCACTTCATCAATTTCAGTGGCTTTAATTAACAGTTTCATCATGTTTATGCACCATAATATCCAATATGTCCACCTAGTTTTTACTTTTATGGCCCGATGCTCCATCATGCTGGGAAAGTCATTGTCCTTCATCAGACTGTTCTTGGATGGTTTGAGTACGTTGCTGCTGGAGGGCCTTTTGGCATCAGCCTTTATTCGTGGCTGACTCTCTACCCCACACAACTGCACGGTCTTGGCTTTAATGTTCGATGAGACAGGACTGATGTTAGCACTCACCCTTTCTTCTCAGAGAGGTGTGGCTTCTTTGCTGCCGTTCAACAAATTCAATTGAATTCAGAATATTTCAGCAGATCCTTTGAAATGGAGTGGAAATGCTATTTCTGGCATTAAGTTTGTTTTCATTGCACAGGTCTTTGCAATTCAACACCCTTCTAGACTAAATGCGAATCGCCATCGTAGAAACGGAAGCAGCAAACTTGGTGAAAACAAATATTTATGTCATTCTCAAAACATTTGGCCATGACTGTAAATTCAAAAAGAAAATGTGTGTTTAAGAAAGAACGTAAAACACATTTACTATCAGCAACAATGGAAAATTATGGGCTAGTCCTCTGACTGATATACTGATTTTATAGACCACACACATTTAATTGCATATATTTTATAGTAAATGTGATTTTTTGTGCACAAAGCAGTTGCTGTATGTTTTTCCCCCCATGTCACATTTTAAGTGTGCAGTCTTCATGTATACATACGGGTTTGTACCCATATTTATAAATCATGTATAAAAAATGTGTACATCACTGAAACAGCTAGA